GTCATGAACAATTTCTTTAGTTTATCGCCATCCATGTATTTAAAAGCAATTCTGAAGTTAGAAAGCATAGCATAGGCTCCTTGCACAATATTCTTTATGTGGTCCTCAGGTGATAGTTTTCTATCTAGAACCACCCCTAGATCTCTTTCTTTATCAGAATTCTTTAAAGATTTCTCACATAATATATAGGTTGTGTGGGGTCTATGTTCTCCTATTCCACATTCCATAACATGACATTTATTAACAATTTAATTACATTTGCCAAGTGGTGCTCCATATACTTATTTTGTCCAGGTCTTCTTGAAGGGCATGACAATCATCTAAATTTCTTATCCTTCCTATTATCTTAGCATCATCAGCAAACATGTTCATATAATTCTGTATACCAACTGGTAGATCATTTATGTAGACATTAAACATCACTGGTGCAAGAACTGAACCCTGTGGTACTCCACTTGTGACATTTCTCCATTCTGATACATTGCCTCTGATTACTGCCCTCATTTTTCTATCAGTCAGAAAATTTTTCATCCATGTTAGAAGCTTACCTGTCACCCCTCCAATATTTTCCAGTTTCCAGAACTACCTCTTATGTGGAACTCTGTCGAAAGCCTTTTTTAGGTCCAGATAGATGCAGTCAACCCAACCATCTCTTTCCTGTAATATCTCTGTGGCTCGATCATAGAAACTGAGTAAATTCGATATACAGGATCTTCCAGATCGAAAACCATACTGTCTGTCTGATATTATATCATTTCTCTCCAGGTGTTCTACCCATTTAGTTTTGATTAGTTTTTCCAATACTTTCACTATTACACTTGTGAATGATACAGGTCTATAATTGAGGGGGTCTTCCCTGCTGCCACTTTTGTAGATAGGAACTATGTTAGCCTGTTTCCACACGTCTGCTACGATTCCTGTACACAGGGATGCCTGAAAGATCAGGTGAAGTGGAATGCTGAGCTCTGATGCACACACTCTCAGAACCCATGGTGAAACGCCATCTGGGCCAGCTGCTTTGTTCTTACTGAGCTCCTTTAGCATATTTTCCACTTCATCTCTAGACACCTCTATCCACTCTATGTTGTTCTCTGGAATTCTTATTGTGTCTGGTTCTCTGAAGATTTCATTTTGTACAAACACACTTTGGAACTTTTCATTTAATGTTTCACACATTTCCTTTTCATTTTCAGTGAATCTGTTTCCCATTTTCAACCTCTGGATATTATCCTTTACCTGCAATTTGTTGTTTATGAATTTGTAGAATAGACCCGGTTCTGTTTTACATTTATCCGCTACCCCTTTTTCAAAATTTCTTTCTGCCTCTCTCCTTACTGCCGTATAGTTGTTTCTCGCATCTTTGTATCGCTGGTATGTTTGGGGGTTTGGCCTCTTCCTATACTGATTCCATTTTTGTGTCTTTTGGTCTCTTGCCCTCTCACAATTTCTGTCGAACCAATCCTGTTTTCTGGCCCTGCATCTCTGTTTTAGTATGAATGTTTGTGTGCCTTCCTCGTATATTTGTAAAAACTTGGCATACATTTCATTTACTTCCCCTGCCTAGCAACAATTCTGTCCAATTAGAGGCCCCCTGCAGGGGGCCTCTTGGCCCATGCAGGGTAGCTCCTCATTGTACCCATCCAGTCCCACTCGTATGCATGTCCAGCCCATGCTTGAGTCAGTCCCGAGGTTCCACCTCGACCAGGTTACAAGGTACACTGGTGGTTGTGGTGTCTGTTATGAGGTACATGTTACTGTGCCAGGATATTATGAGGTGAGATTTTGATGTGGTTTTGTTACTGAGGTTGCGTGTTGGGGTTGGTTGCGGCGTTTTGTTTGATCCTTGAGTGTTTTCCTCCTGGAGGCTTTCCCAATTTTTTTTTTTTTTCGTTTTTGCCCCAGGGGTGAGTTTATTGAGGAAAAATATTGTATTTTCTTACGTGCTGCTGTGGCGGTGTGTCCACTCATCCTGTAAGTGGGCATGCCGCCATAGTGGCATGTTCAACACTCCTCAATAGGAGGGGAACCCGCTGGGTGTTTCATCCTGTATCTTGTACCCAGACGCAGCTGGGACTTGCTTAAATTAACTGTCTCCAGTGACCAGCTCCTCAAACAAGGAGACTGACGTCTGTCACCCCTTGGAATCTTATCTTGTTTGTCTGTGCTAATTGTTACAATGATCTTCTCTGGGTCACTCATGCATTGCAGTGCCTGGCTTAGCCATTCCAGGTACGTTGGGTTCTCTCTACTCCCCTAGTTGTCTTCACCTAGTTGTGCTCGCTGGGGTTGAGTTTTGGTTCTCTAGTCCTGCCCCCCCCTCTGTTACTTACCTGCCATTTTCAGGGCCTCTGTGCTTATTGTGCTTCCCTCGTTGTGTTTGCAGGGGTTGCGCTCTGGGTTTTTGTTGTCTCCTGTCGTTCGGCTTGGGTCCAGCTTCCTGAGCCTACTAGGCTCTGTTGTATCTACACTTGACTGTGTGTAGGGTCTACCTCCACCACATCCCTTCCTCGTACTTTCCATTTGTCCCCTAATCTGATGCTGGAATCATTCTGTCATTTCATTTGCTCATTGAGCATTCGTTCCATCTGTGTCCCCTGGTACTTGTGCCCCTTGTGTTTTTTGATCTGTCGTTGTCTACCCTCTCATTTCCTCTGTGGGTTTTGCTTGTGGTGTTGGGTCTCATCTTTTGTGTCTCAGTCGGGGCCCTGGTCTTGGACCTCCTGGCATGCTCGCTGGCGTTAGGATGTTTTTTCTGTATGGCAGACGTTCCATCTCCTCCTTTGCTAGTTCGGGTTCCGGCTCTGTCTGTTCGGTGGTCGCACCCGAGATCTTCCCGCGGCTCCGCCTCTTCTACGGCTCGTTTGGTCCGTGGCTGGGCTGGTTCGGCTCTGCCTGGAGTCCCGCCTTCTGTTGGTGGTCAGGTGGCTTCGTTGTTGGTGTCCCACCTGCGTGCTTCTTCTTGGCAGCAGTGTGGGGTATTTTGGCGGTCTCCTGTTTCCTTCTGTCCCTTCTTAGGTAGCTGTGTTTTGTTGGCATGGTCTTGTCCTTCTCTTATGATGGTTCGGGCTGTCATTTTGCCGCATACTGTCGCCTCGTTTCGTGCGGCGCTGGCGGAGCCGCTTCTGCTTACGTTCGGTGTTGATGTTACTTCTGTGCCGTTCCACAAGCTGTCTAATGCGTTGGTTCACCTCTGGCCTGCTCATGCGCTGTCTGAGCCGTCTTGGTAGTTGGACTGGGTGATCTCTTCTTCTCCTTGGCTTTTTGTGGCCCCTTCGGTTCTGTTTTTTTTTTTTTTTTTTTTTTTTTTTTTTTTTTTTTTTTTTTTTTTTTTTTTTTTTTGTGGGCTCTTTTCCTGTTGGCATTAGCCTCTGGGGGTCGGGTTGGTGAGCTTCATGCTCTCCTCCGGCTCTGGGGTTTCTGCTCCTTTGGTTGGGGCGATCGTTTTGTTTTTCTGAAGCCTTCTCCTTCTTTTCTGGCGAAGAATGAGACAGCTGCTTTCCAGAGGGGTCCCTGGGTTGTTGATGCTTTGTTGGTTAGGCTGGGAGTGCATCATGTTTTGTGCCTGGTTGTGGCTCTCTGCCATTATTGGTGCGCCACGGCTTCTGTGTCCGTGGACGCTCTTTGGGTTGATTCGGTTTCCCTTCTTCCCTGTTCTCAGGTGCGGGTCTCCCAGGTCGTCTGCAGGGATATTAAGGCTGGCCAGCCTGGGGTCTATCCCTGTGACCGTGACGTTCGCTAGTTCGCGACTCTTGCCGCCATTCTTTGGGACTGTCTTGGGCGGACATTCGGCGTGGGGCTTTTGGCGGTCAAACAGGGTCCTGGCTGCTCGTTGCCTTGTTTACGTCTCTGGGCCCGGTCGGGCCTGTGTCGCTTGAGTCGGTGGATGCAGCCAGTTGTCTCGGCTTCGGGTTGAGGAGTGAGCAGCGACCACCTCCCGGGTTAGTCCCTATTCTTCCTCTGTGGTGAATTATCTCTGGGGAGCCAAAGGGGGCTGCCCCCAGAAAACCAACGTTGAATGTAATGAAACGCTATTTTCTGGGTGAGACCCATAGGCTCCCCAGCATCCCTCCCTCAGAACACATCCAGCCTCAGAACTGATGGTGGATAGCCAGTGCGGTAGGTCTGGGGCTCCCCCTTCCCCCTCCCGGGGAGGGGTGAGCTGCGCAGACAGCGGCTTGGCGACGTGTGACATCATGATCGTTTGCTTGTTTCTTTTAGGGGAGTTCTATTCACTTGTTCGGCTTGTGGTAGCAATTTTTACCAGAATAGGGGATTGTTTTGGGACGCTTACCTTTCTGGGTGCCTGACCCGGTCGATGGCAGACATAGAATGTTTCCAACCATACAGGGGTTTCTATAGGCCAGGTTCTGGCCCATGGTCCCCGGTAGGCCCATAGAACTCCATATATATGACTGATGCCAAAGTCTGACATTAGCATAGCAGCCTGGATAAGCTCCGGGGAGTCTCCGGGTCTCACCCAGAAAATGGCGTTTCATTACATTTAATGCTGTTTTTTTGAGTGAAAATTGCACAGGTTAACTAGACAATGGTCTATTTTGATTTGCCTACCTTTCTGGATCATTTCCCGGTCATGGCAATTATGATATACGTACTTTAAATGTATGGTGCTCATAGGCCATTGCTCCCTGCACCTCTCTTGAGTGGAACCAGATTCTGGCTTGTGGTTCCCGGTAAGTATAAGGACTCCTGTGACTGATGACCCCTTACTAATATTGCATATATCAGTTCAGATAGCTTCAGGGAGCCTCTGGGCCCCACCTAGAAAAAGGAGTTCAACAGAGTTGAACTCCTTTTTCTGGAGTTTTCTGGAGAAAAGGAGTTTGTTCATTCAACGCTGTTTTTTTTTTATCTAGGTTTCAGCTTTTGGAAGCATTTTTACGTTCTAAACAAAAATTGTTTGCACATCTTGACTCCATAAACACCCATTCATTTTTAGCTACGAAATAATGATCATATTTTCATTACTTTTATATCCGCAGGCCGCTCATGCATCGTGAAAGACGCAAATACCTCCGTACAGCTATGAAAGAATTGGCTCTCATTTTGACTGATCAACCAGGACTTTTGGGTCCTAAGGCACTGTTTGTATTCATGGGCCTTAGCTTCTCCAGAGATGAGGTTTGTATCTGTTTTTATGTCAGGTGATTAAGAAAACTCTCCTGATGAAAATTATCTTCACATGTTCCTTATATATTTTGAGAGGCAATTCAGGGTAGCACTTTGCACCTAGTTGTTAATGTTTACTGGAGTGTGACACACAAATCTTTTAATGATTTATGAAAGATAATAAAAAATTTGTATAACAAGTAATAGAAATATATGTCACCTTATTAGTGATGCATTTCAGATAACTGCATAAGATTTGTAATAATAATAATAATAATAATAATGTTATTGTGTCTGGGGGGATAGACAACCAGTGTATATATACATGTAAGGCTTATTTCAAGGTTTATCCAGGGTTGAATTACTGACCCTTCCCAGGATGCAACCCCACAAGAAGCTGACTTCACCCCTGGGTGCCTATTTGCTGCTCGGTGAACAGTGATCGGTGATAGGAAACATGTCCAACCATTTCTGTCCCACCCGGGATTCAAACCCAGAATTCCCGATTCAGAGTAGAGAACAAACCCGATTGTACTTTCGGGATCATACTTGACCCTCAACCCTTAACCCTTTAACTGCGCAACGCACCTGCAGGCCCATGTCTGGGGTGCGCTACGCGCCTCCAGGTATTTGTATTTTTCACGTTCCATTCAAAACTCCCGCGGCTACATGGGGTTCACATCAGCTTCCTCAGGGCTCTTGTAAACAGACGCCATCTTTAAAAAAAATTGTGGTCCACATTCCCGGGTGTGAAAGCCTCAGTAGTGAGTGAGCAACCAAGGCTGGCGCTCGCAGCATGAGCGCACAGCATGGCTGTTCAGCATGTGACCACAGCATCACCTAATAATGTCAAAATATATGTATATAACCTGTATTATTTAGCCATGATAGTATTATAGAAGAGCCTGAGTGTGATAATGACTGAATACAATGTTCAAATATCAGTGATTCAATGCTGTTCACAATGTTCACAGCGCTTGCCACAGCACCACAGCATTTTTTCGTCCATCTAGGAATCTTCAAACGACTTCTTAGGTTCCTTTTCAAAATAAACTTGTGGTCAATTATTCATTTACAGGAATTAGTGACCAGGATTGTGGTTATAATTAGCTTTGTGTGTAGTATTGTGGAAGGAGGAATTTTGGTGAGGGAGGGAGGAAGGGAGAGAATTGAGGTAGCCTCACTGTGTGTGGCAGCCACTCTTGTTTTGCTCACAATACTAGCATCGTGGTTCGCTATGGGGAACACACATGTACATGGGTATATACAGTGTGTGTGTATATAGTGTAATAATAGCAACAGGAGTATGTTGAGTGGAGCTATGTTGGTGAGGGAGGTGACGTCGTAATCGTAGTGTCATCTGCTGTGTCATTTCTCATGCAGTGTATAGTGGCCACTGTACTGTTTGGACACAATACCGGCTTACTTGCATAGTTCTGGTAAATAAAACATGTAGATAAGTATATATAACATGTGTAAATAGTGTAATAAAAACAATAACAGTATGGTGGGAGGAGCAATGTTGGCGAGTAAGATGTTGGAGTGAGGGAGGGCCTGTCTGGGTGTGGCTGCTCACACTCGTGATGTTCTGAATGTGTTGATGGTAAATGTGTATAGTGTGTGACAGTGTATAGTGTGTACATATGTTGTAAATATACATAAATGAACATGAAACATTGGTGTGAATAACTGTATGATGGGAGGAGCAATGTTTTTGAATACAATGTTGGAGGAGTGAGGGAGGGCTGGCTGGGTGTGACAGCAGGCTCATGGCCTGCTTCCGTGGGCGGTGCTCCCGGTTTTCTCTGCATGATACCCTGGCTGCCTTCGGCGGCTTCGTTCTCATAGACTTGTCATGACCCTTGCATGCCTATGTTCTGCAGGTGAGTTGGTGTGGTCTGGCGTCTCCTTCGTCTAGACGCTGTTTTGTTTTTAGGGGGTACGAATGGGTGTACATACGTACTTGAGAACATAGAACGTAAAAAACGGGGTGCCTGCAGAGGGGCTATTGGCCCATACATGGCAGCGCTTGTTTCTAACCACCCGATTCAATCGTCCGATCACAGGTGACTGCAAGAGGCCTCTTGGCCCATACGAGGCGGCTCCTGACTATACTCATCCAGCCCCTCTCCTATGCATGTCCAACCATGCTTGAGTTCTGGACCCCGCCTCAACCTTGTTCCAAGGTGCAAAAGTGGAGATGCCTGTTCAGTGGTACCTGTTCCTGTGTTGAGGGTGTTATGTTCTCACCTAATTGTACTCACCCAGTTGTGCTTGCAGGGTTGAGCTCTGGCTTTTTGGTCCCGCCTCTCAACTGTCAATCAACTAATGTACAGATTCCTGAGCCTACTGGGCTCTATCGTCTCTCCATTTGAAACTGTGTGTGGGGTCAGCCTCCACCACATTACTGCCTATTGCATTCCATGTGTTACCTACTGACACTGAAAAGGTTCTTTCTAACATCCCTGTGGCTCATTTAGGTACTTGGTTTCCACCTATGTCCCCATATTCGCATGCCACCCATGTTAAACAGTTTATCTTTCTCGACCCTGTCAATTCCTCTGGAAATGTGGGTGACGTTTTGCTGCGGTTTTGATACTGCGGCTGCGTGTTGGAGTATGGTCGTGGCGTTTTGTTCAGCCCTTCCGTGCTTCTTTCTGGGGCCTTCCTTGTTTGGGTTCTTTGTTCCCATGATATTTCTGGATCCCTCATTCCTCGCCGGTCTTGCTGTACCGGGCCATCTTTTCCATGTTCATTGAATTCTCTGTACTACCCTCGTTGTCCTCACCTAGTTGTGCTTGCTGGGGATGAACTTTGGCTCTTTGTCTCGCCCCTCGCCTGTCATTCAATTTCTGTATAGGTTCTGGAGCCTACTGGGCTCTCTTATCTTCACATGACGCTGGGTGTGGGTTGGCCTCCGCCGCATCCTTTCCTCATGCATTCCTATTGTCTCCTGCTCTGACACTGGTATGCTTCTTCTCTCTTTTATACGGCTCATTTGGGCGTTCAGTTCACCTTGTTGCCCCCGTTACGTGTGCCCCATGTGTTCCTTGGCTTGCATTTCTCTACCCTGTCAATTCCTCTAAGGTTTTGCTTGTGGTGGTTATGTCCCCTCTGGATCTTCGGTCTCCTGGGGGCATGTTGGACATGTCCAGCGGCTTCTGGTGGAGGTCATGTCCCTTCATTCCCCTTTGCTGCCTGCTTACTCCGTTCCTCGGCTTCCTTTTGTCCTCCACGTTGTGTGTTTTGTTTATGCCTTTTGGCTCCTGTTGCCGGGTTTCGATTCTGGTTCCTGGCTTTCCCGGCTTGTTGGCATTTTCAGAGTCTTGCGGTGTTCCTTCTCTGGAGTCTGTCGGGGTCTTGGTCTCCACCCTCCTGGCGGCTCGCTGGCATTGGGACATTTTTCGGTACGACAGACGTTCCATCACCTTTGCCGGCTCGGGTTTCTGGCTCTGCCTGCTTGGTGGTCGCACCCGAGGTCTTCCCGCGACTCCGCCTCTTCCTCGGCTTGTTTGGCTCTGCCTCGAGTCTCGCCTTCTGTTGGTGGTCGGGTGGCTTCGTTGCTGGTGTCCCACCTGCGTGCTTCTTCTTGGCGGCAGCGTGGGGTATTTTGGGGGTCCTTCCTTTTTTTCCTTCTGTTCCTTCGGTGGCTGTGTATTGTTGGTGTTGGCGGTGTTGTTCATGGCTGTCATTTTGCTGCATACTGTTGCCTCATTTTGTTCGGCGCTGGCGGAGCCGCTTCCGCTTGCGTTCGGTGTTGATGTTACTTCTGCGCCGTTCCACACACTGTCTCATGCGTTGGTTCACCTCCGGCCTGCTCATGCGCCATCTGAGCCGTCCTGTTCGTGGGACTGGGTGCTCGCTCTTTTCTTCTCGGTTCTTGTGGCTCCTTTTGTTCCGGTTGGTGTCGAGGGGCTCTTTTTCAGTTGGCGTTGGCCTTGGGGGTCGAGTTTGTGTGCTTCATGCTCTCCTCCAGCGCTGGGGTTTCTGCTCCTTTGGTCGGGGCGATCGCTTTGTTCCTCTGCGGCCTTCTCCTTCTTTTCTGGCGTTGAATGTGACTGCCACTTTCCGGAGGGGTCCCTGGGTTGCTGATGCCTTGTTGGTTTGGCCGGGGGTGCTTCAGGTTTTGTGCTCAGTTGCGGCTCTCCGCCGTTTTTGGCACACCACGGTTTCTGTGTCCGTGGACGCGCTTAGGGTTGATCCGGTTTCCCTTCTTCCCTGTTCGCAGGTGCGGGGTTATTAAGGCTGGCCGGCCTGCGGCCTCTTCCCGTGCCCGTGATGTTCGCAACTTCGCGGCTTCTGTTTCCATTCCTTGGGACTGTCTTGGGCGGACATTCGAGCGTTAGGATTTTGGCGGTCAAACTGGGTCCTGGCTGCTCGTTGCTTTGTTCACATCCTTAGGCCTGGTCGAGCCTGTGTTGCTTTGGGTTGGCAGTTGCAGCCGATTGTCTCGCTTCGTGTTGAGGTGTGAGAGGTGGCCGCCTCCCAGGTATGTCCCTTAGTCCTTCCTCTGTGGGTAGTTAGCTCCAGGAAGCCGACGGGGCTCCCCCCAGAAAACCAGCGTTGAATCTAATGAAATGCCATTTTCTGGGTGAGACCCTGAGGCTCCCTGTCAACCCGCCCTCCCTCCGGTTGGCAGTTTTCACGTGTTTTGACATCCAGCCTCAGAAATGATGGGTGGATAGCCGGCATGAGAGATCTGGGGCTCTCCCTTCCCCCTCCCGGGAAGGGGGGAGCTGCTCAGACAGCGGCACGGTGACGTGTGACATCATACCAGTTTGCTTGTTTTCTGTTGGGGAGTTATAACCACTAGTTCGGCTTATGGTAGCAATACCCAGTCGATGGCAGACATAGAATGCTTCCAACCACATGGGGGTTTTCATAGGCCATTGTTCCTCGTGCCCCTCAGAGGGGGCCTCTGGAACTGGTAGGCCCTAAGAACTCCATACACATGACTGATGCCAAAGTCTGACATTAGCATATGAGCCTGGTATAGCTCCGGGGAGCCTCCG